TTATGAAACAAGAACCCACCAACAAAAGCGGAAGGTTGAGATTGTACATTCAGTTCACAATAGTAGTCTCCATTTGACCAGGCTCACCTGCTTGAGAGAGGCGAATACCTCCCCAAGTCATCAGGCTCCGAATTTTTTGTGGCAGCACCTAGACCACTCTGATGATGCCCCATTAGATCTCCATCCATTGTTGTATGAGGAGCTGAAGATGTTATTTTTCCATTAGAATACACCGGCCGTGGCACCAGTTCCAGCCCAATTTTCATCTGGCATGGATAAACAAGAGACTGAGATATACATCATAACAACTACGATGAGGCACTTGATAGTATGTGACCACATAAAATGTTAGCCCAACCTTAGGATGAGATGATGATTGAGGAAAACTAGAGGGAATGACTTCAGAACGCCATGGTGCTAGCTGGTACTTAGACTCCTTCAGCTTTGCCTATAATAGTTCAAGGGACAGTCACAAAATACGATGTAAAAAATGGAAAAATGCATGGATGTCCATCATCACAAAGACAACCTAAATGTAAATCCCTTTGAAGTGCTTTAAATCTCTATAACATACCTCAATAGCAAGAATCTATTCAAGCAAATGTCTAAACAAAACCTGCAATAAAGGTTCCAAGATAAATCCAATGAATGAGACAATCTAAAGAAACTTCCTCCTCCAGAATATAGACATCTCAATTCCACATAGATTTNGCTTTAAATCTCTATAACATACCTCCATAGCAAGAATTTGTTCAAGCAAATGTCTAAACAAAACCTGCAATAAAGGTTCCAAGATAAATCCAATGAATGAGACAATCTAAAGAAACTTCCTCCTCCAGAATATAGACATCTCAATTTCACATAGATTTAGAATTGACAATGAGCCTAGGCTTGTGCATGCTTGATGCTTTATTATTTTTAGAAGGCTTAAATCCTGATCCTTGAGAGGAGCCAGAATTCTTTGATCAAAAATTCAGCTCATATAAAACAAGCAAAGCTTTCACAAGTATCAGCAAGCTATTAAGCTCATGTCTTTGAATATTTACATAAGTATTTCAATATTAAATGAG